CACACGTGCATGCTTGTGGGCATGAGCTCACATGTGCACAAGTTTTCATGTGCTTTTGTGGTCACACACATGATGTTGTTGCACGCATTCTTGCGTGACCCTGTATGTGCATTTTCACATATTTATGGCATGGGTGTGCATGCAGAAATGCCTCTGTGCGTGTGTGCATGCGTGTGCACACATCTGTCCAAGACGACCAAGGAGGGGTGGCATACGGCACGCCGAGGGCATTCCCCCCTCGGTGATGGCCACCCCTGTCCCCCCAGTTCCTGGCCATGCTGTCTCAGTGGTGCACCCAGATGCACTCCCTCACCCTCCAAAACCTCAAGCCACGCCAGCGGGGGAAGAAGGAGAGCAAGGAGGACTACATGAAGAGCACACGGTGAGTCCTCACGTCCTGGGCACCCTCCTCCCTCAGCCAGCACCGCTGGTCCTCAGGGAAGAAGATGCTCCATGAGCCTCAATGTCCTGTTTCCACTGGCGGATGTTCATTGCACACTGGTTCCTGTTCCGGTTTTGGGCATCCTGGAACCATGGATCTCCATGGGACATGTCATCCTCCTGGGGTGGCCCCAGGGTGGCCATGGGGAGTGTGAATGCAGATGTCCATGCCTGACTCTGCCTCCATCCCTGGCAGGGGCTGCTTGGAAGCCGGGCTGGAGTCCCTGCTGAAGGCGACGGGCAGCAACCTCCTCATCCTCCGCATCTCACACTGCCCCAACGTGCTGACGGACCGCTCGCTCTGGCTGGCCAGCTGCTACTGCCGGGCCCTGCAGGCTGTCACGTACCGGTAAGGATGGCCACCGGCATTCCCCCTTGCCCACGGGGACCAGCTGGTTGCCTGGCTGGGAGAAGGCTGGGAACATCCATGGGATGTGCTGGGACTCCTCTGATGCCCGTCCTCATTCCCTGTCAGAACACGGCCCATCTGGCCAGGTGTGAAGGACCCACACTTCTGTGTCCACAGCTCAGTAGCAGCCCCAGTCTCCAGTGTCCCCAGTGCAAGCTGTCCTTGCGACTGTCATCCTCTTCCGGCGTGTTCCCATGCAGATGTTTCCCTTCCAGCTCTATTCCCACCATCCTGTTACCGATCTCACCCCAGCTGCAGGCGTGACCAGGGTCTTGGTATGGCATGCTGCTTTATATTAGAGAAGGGTTAAGAAGAGGTGCATCAACACTAAGACCCAGTGAGGTCCCACCTGACTGTCACCCCCTGACAAAGGCTTCTAATGAGAAGAAGAGACCTCAGGGTCCCTCTGTCCTGGGAGGGAGGAACAGCTCTGCCATGGGCTTACTAAGACTCAACTTGGAGACCCTGCCCAAGAGCAAGGACACAACGCCCATGATAGTGTATGTCCTGGAGGAGGTCACAGGTCCTGGAGGAGAACACTGACAGCCCCTTGGTCTTAGTCACCTTTTGAAGAGGCTCTGCGTCCCATGGAGACATGATTTAGCTTTCCTGCACTCTCAAGGAGGATGATCCTTGCTTGGCTGCACCCTGCAGATCACTGCTTCAGCCTTCCTTCAGCTTCACCTGCAGCCGATGGGTGTCCTTGTCCAGCCCAGGATGGAGAGTCCTTCGTGTTGGAAAGCACAATCAGCTAGCTCCTCCACATTGAACCAAGCCAGCTTGGACGCGGCTCTGATCTGGAGATCCCACACCATGAGGCAGCCCAGTGCTGCCGGGTTTAACCCAAAGACTCCTTCATCAGCCCTTCCAAGGGCGTTAGAGCAAGCCCAAGCGCTCCTGGCACATTCCTAACCTGTGACTCTGAGTCATGCTCTAATTAACCCGCCGTGCTCGCAAGGGGCTCTTGGCAGGCATCTTCAGTGGAGACGTGTGAAATGCTCAAGATAACACCCATCATTTATTTTTAGGCTTGCCTGAAGTTTTGAAGTAGGTCATTTAGAGTTAGGAAGTGTGGCCTTGGTCTTCAGGAGGGAGCCCAGTGCGGAGAATCGGTCAGGGGCCTCTATTTGGGTTGGTAGCATCAGGACAACACTCTCTGACATCTCTCCTGCATTGACTCGGTGCAGGGAGCTGACGGCATCAGTGAAAGCTCCTCTGAGCCAGTGGCACAAAAGTTGGGTGTCAGGCAGCGTGGCTGTGCCCAATCAGTGCCATGGCTCACAATAAACCTACACCTCCACTATGCACGAATCCAGCAGCATCCCATGAGGCCTGTTTTGATACCTCTAAAAAGACCAAGGAAGAGCCCACAGCAAACCTCTGCAGTGATGTTTGGCCAACAGCCACCTACAGACATGGTAGCACAACCCCAGAGCTGGTACAGAGGCCATGGAGCAGCCACTTTCCTTCACTGAAAGTTACGTCCCATCAGCTGAAACTTCTTTACCACCTCCTGGCACCTTCCCCACCCAGGCTGGGCAGGTGGCAAGTGAAACCAGCCCAATGGGATCTGCAGGGACGTTGTATTTGCTCTGCAAGGGTACACTGCCTGGCAGTCTCAGTTCAATCACTTGCCACCTTTGCATCTGGAAGACTTCTGCCTTCACCTTCAACCTCATCTTCAACCATCAACCTCACCTTCAATCACCAACCTCACCTTCAACCACCAACCTCACCTTCAGCCTTACCTCCAAACTCATCTTCAATCTCACCTTCAACCTCACCTTCTTCCATTTTTCTTGACATCACATATCCGTAGGCACAATTCCACATAGGAAAACCTTCAGCCTTCCTGCATGGGTTGGTGTCGGGACTGTCTGGTTCATGGGCAGATCATGGCTTATAAATAATGACCAGATTTGTACCTCCAGGTGCAGAGAGATGTAGTAGCACGGAGGCTGCAGACACAGCCCCCAGGGCAGCATCACTGCCAGTGGGGTCCACCACGTGTTCTCTGTGTTTTTCCAGGAGCTCTACGGACCCCGTGGGTCATGAAGTCATCTGGGCCCTTGGAGCAGGTTGCAGGGACATCATCTCCCTCCAGGTCGCACCTCTGCATCCGTGGTAAGAGTCATGCTAGGAGGGGACCAGGCTGAGGGTGAGGGGCACCACTGGGCTTGAAAGAAATTGGGTCCCTGATCCAGATTTGCTTTTGGGGATGTCCTTGTGGGTTGAGCAGCAATTCTGGAGGCTGGTTTGGGGTACTGGGACCTCAGCCCCACCCCTCCCTCTGAAGGCTGGGAGCTGTTGGGTGTAGGCATCTCCCTGCCGAGCCAGGAATGTTTCCTGGGAGGCTGCTAACATCAGAGATGAAAGGGAAGCGGTGGTGGGTCTGGTAGGTGACACCAAACATCAAATGCTTGTCTGAGCTCCTCACTGCTCATATAACAGCAGCCCTGAAGGGCCTGGATGGTTTTAAAAGCATGTTGAGTCACTGCTTAGGGAGACGACTGCAGTTGCTCTCGCTTTGGAAAAGCATTTAGGGGGTGTGAAGATGCTGGCAGTTCCCCACCCCGCAGCATCTGGGTGCTCAGGAGTTCATGGCTCACAGAGCAGGTCACTCGGCTCCTCGGTTCCATGCCATGGGGCTGCCTCCTGGTCATTTCTTCTTGCCCTGGGAGGTTTGTTGCAATGTCATGTCTCCCATCAGTCTGGATGGAGGTGTACAGAGGGGGTTGTCTCTTAGCAGAAGTTGGATGTCAAGTCCCTGATGGCTTGTTTCTTCCCCGGGGGAAACACCACATGGCATGTAGGCTTCTCTGCCTGAGCTACAGGTTAGGTTCCCTCTACTGTTTTGATCACTGCAAGCAACAGAGCTCAGGGCCTCTTTCAGATCTCCAGAGGTGGAGGGTTTGGGGCAGAAGGACTTCACTGAGAGCACAGACCTGCCCTTCCTGGTTGCAGCACAGCCCATGGTAGTTGCTCAGATGGAAACATCTGCTCTGGAGACACCTCCTTCCAGTGTGGTGGACCCCTGGGTTGGTGGGGTGAGAGAGGTCCCATCCCCAACACCACTCATGAGAGCACTTCTGGTGGGGGGGGATGAGCTTTTCTGCCAGCCCTCCCCATCTCTTTCTTCTTCATCTCCCCAGCCAGCAGCCGACGCGTTTCAGCAACCGCTGCCTTCAGATGATCGGACGGTGCTGGCCGCACCTGCGGGCACTGGGCATTGGAGGGGCAGGCTGTGGCGTCCAGGGACTGGCGTCCTTAGGTAGGCAGCTCTCCTCCGATGGGACAAGAAGGGGACCTTGCTGGAGGCAGGGTATACTCCTAGGAGATGCCCCATGGGGATCTCAATGGCAAAGGCCACCCCAAGGACCATGGGTGCACACTGCCCCTCCTTTCTGCCACCCATCCCTCCTACCTCCCCATTCCCATTGGTTGTCCTCACCCTTTCCCCGTGGGGCGCTGACAGCAGGTGCTCTGTCCTTCCAGCCCGAAACTGCATGCGGCTTCAGGTCCTGGAGCTAGACCACGTGGCAGAGATCAACCAGGAGGTTGCAGCAGAGGTGTGTCGAGAGGGGCTGAAGGGGCTGGAGATGTTAGTGTTGACCTCCACGCCAGTCACTCCCAAAGCCCTACTGCACTTCAACAGTGAGTAGCAATGCTGGAGGGGAGTGCATAGCATCGTTCATTGACCAAAAGGCCACCAGACATCCAGATCCATGACCCAGACCCTGCCTTCCAGCCCCTCCCACAGGAACCCACTGCCATCACCAGAAGGTCCTGGGAGCTCTGTGGTGGAAGGTTTCTAAGAGGGGATCCAACAACTCCCTTTCAAGGATGACTTAAGAAGAGCTGATCTTGCCTTGAGCCATAGGAAGGATGGAGACACTCCCTCCATGCTCCACTCAGTGTAATCAAGGCCTCAGTGTCTGTGACACACTTGAGGTTCACCCTGGTGTATCTGAGTTTGGAGTCACACCATTTACTGAAGCCATTTGCCAGGACAGGAGCTCTGGGGGGGTGCAGCCAGCAGGAGGGTCTGTTTGAGGTGCCATTCCTGGTAGTCATGGCACATATAACTGTGGTTGGACTTGCTGGGAACCCACCTATGTGGGTAGAAGAGTAAAGGTTTCCCAAATAAGAGGTAGGACTGCTGAATTGGGATGGGACAACTGGGAACCATCTCGTAGACCACCGTTTTCCCTACAGAGGTCTTGGTCACCAAGAATGGATCTCGTCCATCTTCAGGGTGAGGTTTCCTCAAATGCATAAGGCTTTGAGGAGCACTGGGTGGGTTTTAGAGTCCATCCTGGCTATGGGGAGGCTATCTTCTCACCAGGTATGGTGAGGCCAGGCAGTATCTCTGCCCCCAGGTGTGTGCCGGAACCTGAAGTCCATCGTCGTGCAGGTGGGCATTGTGGACTACTTCAAGGAGCCCCACAGCCCTGAAGCCAAGAAGATGTTTGAAGAAATGGTGAACAAACTCCAGGTAAAGCATGCCATTCCCATGTCACCCATGTGCCACCAGTCTTGTGTCCCCATGGGGTCTGAGGACAAATTCTTGCCCACCGCTGAAGTTTCTCAATACAGAACATTTTACCTCACCAGGGACATCCCAAAGGCTCGCTGTCCTTCAGATACACACGCCCCAAAGGCTGAAACAAGATCTAACATGCTGCGATTCCTTCCCATTGCTTTAACCAGGACTGCTTCTTTTCTCTGTGGGTCTCTTCCCCGGGGACAGAAAAGGGCTGTTGCCTCCTCCACAGGGCCACCTACTTGTCAAACACTGCAAAGTGATTTAAAATCCACCCATGAAAGCAGAAATAGGGTTAATTTCAGTTAGGCTGAGCGGCAGACCTTGCTTGGCTTGTGATGCTCAGCAGGGCTTGGGCTGTCCTGGATCTGTTCAGGGTCTCCAAGGCAGACATCTCCATCTGTGTCCAAGGGAAAAAATAAGTGCCTCCATTTCACTTCATCCTCTGTTGACTTCATCCTGCAGCAGGTTGGGCATCCGTGCGGGCGTAAGGTGAAACTCCCATGAGATGCAAAACAGGACTTGGGGACAGAGGCCCACCCGTGCAGTCAGATGGGGTCAGATAACTCATGCGGTTCCGGCTCCACCACCAAGCCCTGGCAAGGGAACATCAGTGGACAGCGAGACAGACACACGTCCACCTCCAGTCTGGGCTGGGGGGTCACCTTCAGAAAAGAGTAATTTCAGAAGGGCTTTCCTTGTGTGGCCGCTCACCGCCATGCTTTGCAAATCCCATCTGCCCCTCCATGTTGATGTCATCTGCCTCAAACTAGTACTGTCCTCTGGAAGCAGTGTTTTTAACCAAGCAGAAAACAAATCCAGAGCTAGCTTCAAGGCCATGGGATTAAGAGGTATTGAGCCAGTCATGCAAGGAAGCCAAATCCCCATGGGATGCAGTAGTGGGGATGGGACCAGGGTGGACCCCTTCCATGGTGGAGATTTGAGATGTCCTCTCTTCTCTCTTGCTCAACCTGCGGGGCAGCGAGACTGCCAGGTCCTGCACCCACCATGCTCTCTGCTCCTCTTTCAGGCCCTGAGGAAGAGACCCGGCTTCTCCAAGATTTTACACATCAAAGTGGAAGGAGGCTGTTAGACCTTCAGGGAACCACAAAGCACATTCCCTCCTCTGCCCAGCGGAGCCAAAGGCCCCACGAAACCAAACCCACCATCTGCCGCTCATCCGTTGCTGGACCTGGAGCACGGAGACACCGGCCCATGCACAAAAAACCCCAAATTCTTGCAGGCCTTAGTGACTGGCAGCCGGCACTCGTCCCCAGGGCCACCTCATGGGCGAGAAGGTGCTACTTAAAGAAATTTTTCAGCTGCGCAAAGAGGCAGGGCTACGCTCTTTCCCGGGAGGGAAGATGTCTTTGAACCCTCCGCGGCTGCTCGTTGCCAAGGATCCTTGTTTGGGGAATATCTTTTTCTTCGAACTTTCTTTCTGGGGCTTTTTTTTTGCCATTTGATGGTGTGGGAGATCCACCTCATGGGCGAGAAGGTGCTACTTAAAGAAATTTTTCAGCTGCGCAAAGAGGCAGGGCTACGCTCTTTCCCGGGAGGGAAGATGTCTTTGAACCCTCCGCGGCTGCTCGTTGCCAAGGATCCTTGTTTGGGGAATATCTTTTTCTTCGAACTTTCTTTCTGGGGCTTTTTTTTTGCCATTTGATGGTGTGGGAGATTGAGGATGGTTCAGACAAGCGCTGCTGTGTCACAGCTGGACCATCCCCATCTTCTCCGTGGGCTGGTGGAAGTGGGGTGGGAAGGGGTCGTTCCTCCAGAGGAAATGGTGCCCAGGGTTTCTGCTCGTTTTTATTTCATTTGTTTAACAGAAGGGCACCCAAACCTGGGTGAATACTGCCCAGAAACCAGCAGCCGTGACAGATGGCAGAGCTGCATCTTGGGGGCTGTAGGAGCCAGAGGACAGCAGGAGAGATGGTCACTCTCCCAGAAGTTTCCAACCTCACCTCTTCTCCACCCAAACCTTCCTGCAAAGGCAATAAACCGTCTCCAAAATCCTTGTTCACCAGGAAACACGGGTCATGCTTCTGTCCCCACCAACATCCACCACCCGCTCAGGCTTCCTCCGGAGCAAATTGTCCCGTGCAGAGAGAGGGACAGGCATGGGATACCCACGTTTGCCATCTGATCGCCTCCCCGAGCAGCCTGAAGGAGAAGCCCTGGCCAAATTGTCCTGAAGTACAAAGCTGCTGGTGAAAGCACCAACCCAGCTGCCCTGGTAGATCCCTTATCTATGGTCATGGCTGGGTTTTTTACTTCTGCTTTTTTCTTCCGGCTGTCTTCTGCCTGCAAGGACATCATCACCCCCCAAAATACCCTTCTTTTTCCAAAGAAAAAAGGTTTTTGAAAGGCATCCAGCAGGGTCAGGTGTCTCCATCCTCCACCCTGGGGAGAAGGTGCCAGGAGATGCCCATGCCATGGGGGACACCCATCACAGCACTGCCAGCAGCAGGGACGCACCGTCCTTAACCACAGCCCCCTGCCACCCCGAGCCCCAACCGGGCGTGCTTGGACCTGACATGCTGAGCTGAGAGGAGCCAACTGGGAAGAGCAGATTTTTGGGGTTTTTCCTCTCCTCTGGGCCATCGTTGGAGGTTTCAGTGTGTGTTGGCCAGCATGGCTGCAAGGAGACAGCCCTTCCCAGGGCATCTCCCCTTCCTCCAGCCCTCCCAGGCTGATGGGCTGCCATGGAGCGTTCCCCAGGGAGGGAGAAGGCTGCAGACCTATCCTGGTATCATCTTCCTCATCCACGTTATGAGAGATGCAGACCTCAGCCGGGAGCTCCCAGAATGCTGACAGACCTTGTGGACCCTGATAGAAAATAAAGTCTGTTCCAAATTGCTGAAGCTGGTGGTGGACGGGAGGCAGGTCCTGGGTCTCCAACCCCAGAAGGAACCTCAGGAGACCATTTCATCCACCCCTCATCCCATCTACGCTGTCTCCTCCAAAGCAGGGTTGGGTTTTTTGGTCATAATCCCCCATTTGAAGCACCTCCATTCCCCTGCTGACTGCAGCTTTCCAGGAGAAGGCTGTTCCCTGTATGCACAAAATGTGGGAGCTCAAAAAAAAACACCTGCAAGAAACTACCACGTCCCACCATGAGCCCATGGGCAACATTGGATGAGCTCCCCGGCACCGGAGCCAAGCTCCCCACTGTGCCCGCTGCAGGTTTACCTCCATCCCGGGGAGGCTGGGACACAGGTAATCCAGGGGCAAGAGGAGCAAGGGATGCCCCGACCAGCAAAAAAACCCACCCAGCAAATCTACAACCCCCAGAGGACCACCCAGCTACCATCCCATGAGCGTGGTCCCAGTGGAGATGTCACCATTCAAAACAGCGCAGAGACTTGTGAAATTCCCATTAAAAAAAAAAAAAAAAGGTAAGTATTTATTTCTATAAAGAAAAGGAGAAAAAAAAAAAGATTTTAAAGGAAAATTATATACTCAGCATGTTTATACACTCTATGCTTAAAGACTATCATGTTGGAGAGTTGTGTCTGAAGACTGAAGGTGGCTGCTCCGGGTTTGCTGCGTGCCTGCACCCGGCCCCTCGCCCAGCTCCTCCTGGTCACGGGGAAGGGAGGATGGGTGTTGGGAAGCAGGGGGAGATGTTGAGGACTCTTGAAGAAACCTGTGCTCACCAGCGAGGCTGGTGTGGCTGCTGGTGCCGTTGGTGGCCGTGGCTACTGGTGACTGTGGTGGTGTGGAGCGTGGCTGGGTGTGTGACATCCCCGTTCCCTCGCTGCCACAACGGTTTTGTAAGTCACGGCAGGACAACCTCACCCAAATTTGGTGCTTCGGTGTATTGCTGAGACCAGACCAAACCGTCCACCTCCCCTTGGGGCATTCCCAAAAAGTCCAACTTCTGGCTTAGCAAAGCCAGGTTTTTACAAAAATCCTATGATGACACAAAAGCTTGAGCAGGTTCAAGGATTGGAAGATGGAAAGTGGGTTTTTTCCCCCATTTTGCCTGGGCTTGGACAGGTCTCGTCCTCCTCCTCCTCCTCCTTGGTTGGGGATGAAGGTGGCTGACACAGTGACACAGGCTTGGTGGTAATGAGAGCCCTTCGTCTCCCTGGCCCTCCCAGTGGCTCCTAATTGCCTAAGTTGTTAATGGCAACGAGCTCATTAACGGCTCTGCATTTCTTCTGCTGAAATGTCATATTGATGGCTTCCCTGCTGCTTTCCCTCCCCATCCCGCCAGCACGTGGCCCCGTTCGCTCCTCCATGAACCCCCATCGCCCACCCCCATCCCTACGGGATGCTCAGGCAACGCTGCCCGTGGCCGTAGGATTCACCACGTTGGTCGTAGGGTTTCAACCCCATTTCCTCTGCAAACGATGGAGATGCACAGAAATACCAAATCGCCTGGGAAAGCCTTGAAATCACACAGGTGCTGGTAGGGAAGGGACAGCTGCAGCATGAGCTCAACCCCATACTAGACCCTAGAGAAGCCCCAGCAGGGCTCTGCAATGACAATCCCCAGCAAAAGCCAGGGCACAGCCGCCCAACCCGGCACGAGCATCAGCAGCGAGGAGCTTTTCGTTCAGGGTCATGGTGATGGCCAGACCTGGCAGGGGCTGGATGGACGGTGCTGCCGCTTCCTGCCAGACCTGGGTCCTGCAGGACCAGTTTTGGGGGGACTTATTCCTTTTCTAGTGAGTTTGCCCAAAGTTTCCCCACGGCCAACGCTCGTGACATTCCTCTTCTCTTGAATTTGGGTGCTCATCAGGGATCTCAAGAGGAACAACACCAGCAAAGCCAGCTCGGAGGCCAAATTTATCCCAAATCCGTGTTTTTCTGTCTCCCTTGCGTGTTGGATTTTGCTCGTCATCCATCACTCCGAGTCCTCAGGTGCCGGGGATGCTCCGGGGACCGGCTGACTCCTACCGACCCCACCCC